GATTTTGTGAGTGAAGATGATGACGAAGAGGATAAATTACGTTTCGAATTATTCCGAGACATGTTTTGATTAATAATATTAGATTATACTCATTAGTGTTGTGTGCAAAAGATAACGAAAAAACGAAAACCACGTTTGTTCATGTTGGACGATGAACGTAAACCGTATTATTATAGTTACATGAGAATAAATAAAAATAAAATATGTGAATATAGTAGACTCGAAATTAAATTTTCTATTGTTTTTGATAGTTTCAAATATTGTTAGTTTTGTAAATCAAAAAACAAAATATTTTGATTTCTATTCTATGATTTCGTGCTATGGAAACATTTTGAATAATTTTACTCCCATAAAACTCTAAAATACGTCGTTGAAAATCAATAAGTTTCGTGATACTTAATATATCAATAAAAATAATATTATGTAACTTTATGGAAACTATGCAGAAGTTTGCTAATTAAAAATGAATAAAAATATTTAACACGCAAGAATTAAGAATGTTTTAAATTATTTAATATGTTACCTATGAAAATTGGTTGTTGTAATAATTACTAAGTTGATCGCTTTAAATTTTGAATGAAAATGAATATATTTGCAACTATGTTGAAAAAATATTTGATCTAAAACTATTTAAGTGATAAAAAATAATTTGTTTAAATATCTGTTAATAATATAACAAATTATTTTATGTTACCATACATTTTTTATTTTTGAAATGTTTGATAAAAATAATTATCTATTTTACTTGAAATACATACACAATATTATCATTATAAACGGATTAATTATTTAAAAAAAGTTTTATGTAATATGCTGCATTAAATATATTACAAAAGCATCAAATAAACGCTGTTGTAACGGTGAAAATTTACTTTGAACACATTATTTAGTTTGTCCATCCCTCTTTATTCCAGCCTTCCAAATGTTCCTAATAACCATATTTTTAATAGTATCGTGTCCAATGGAAATCGTCATGAGAATTTATCCGACTTAGTATATTATACCGTATCGATAAGTAGTATATCGCTGCGTATTATGCTAAATAACTCGGTGTGGAAACAAAATAGCTTAATAATAAATTGTATGTGTGTATAAAAGAACTTAAATACTTCCTGAGTGAAATTAAATTAGCCTGCAATTTTAGAGCTGAGAGCGATATTACTTGTTGCTGCCTTATAACTTGAGGCTTCCGCTAATATTCGCCGTTTTTGTCGAACCATTTCCATTAAGAATTCTTATCGCCGGAAACAACGTACAGAACTATTCCAATTATATATATATTATATATCCAGTATATCCGGTTTGGTCAGGTTCACTGCTATCAATAATTGCTGTACAGGAATGCTGGGACCCAAGGAAAATTCCATAGTGCGTTCTTTCAGAAAACTTGTTCAGAGGTTTTAATTTCCATATCTCCATCATTAAACCTTGGAGTTTATCAATAATATCAACCCCACAGCATTTATATGCTTTTACCAACTATGCCTACTGTGATATTGATTGCTTATAATAATAATATATATTTTTTATTGTGCTATAGAGGCTTTCATTTATTTTTCATAGCGAATAATACCAGACACGTAAACACTACTCTCGTTTTATATTCTGAATACCTACTCATTCGAATAATTGTATAAAATACATTCAAAATAGATATTTAAATACTTTTCAATAAATATATTCAGAATATATTTTTCAAATATGATTAGGAATCTAATAACATACAGAGTTAATAATTGTATACATGTAGAATATTTCAATACGTAAATACAAAACATCTTCTATAATACTATATAAGTGTAAAATTTGCTGTAATGTGCGAACAAAGGCAAATTATAAAAAAAAAGTGTAAAATTTTCATTATATTAATAAACATACATTATAGATTCATTTTGAATTAGAATTAATATAATTTATCATAATAACTTTTATGAATAAGGTTAAAAGATTTATTAGGTAATTAAAAACATAACATTTTAAAAAATATATATAAATATTCTAAGTTGAATTACCTATTGATTAATTTTATTTGATATAAATATTTGAATATTAGTTCATAATATTAATTAGTATTTGAATAAGAAAAATAATTTGAATGCACTTATTCATACAATTTTCTCCCCGTATTTAACCGGTTTCAATATTATTCGAATAAGTTTTCCACAATGTACCTATTCCTGAATTGCCGTGTATAGAATATAAACATTTATTTAAAAATTTTTTTTTACAATCCTAATATTAATAATATAATAAAATATTTTGAGGTTTTTTTTAAATCATAAATATCTATAATTCTAAAATGTATTATATTTTTTTTATCGTAGAAACTTTAATTGTGACGTGACTATATATTAATTATTATTAATATATGTAATTCGTTTACACACAATAATATAGTATTACAATATTTAGTAAACAAAATATTAACGAAAAAAGATACATATAATTTGAAAGGAGAAACACTATAAACTGAACATTTTTATAATATGTTTTAATTTTATTATACTTTTAAATAAAACAGACGTGATCACTTATGGTTAAGTTTTAGTAAAAATTGTTATACTTGTAATGTTAATTACATATAAATAATGCTATTATATATAAATCGTGAAATATCTTCTAAGAATATTTACTCATGACTGAATAAGAAAATGATCTACTAGAATAGTAATTTTTAATGTTTTTTTATATGATTTTTTTCTACTGCGTGATAAAATACTTACATTTAAAATTCGATCTTGTAAAATTAACAGTGTTTGGATAATTTATTTCACTACTAGTGAATCTTCTTTTATTAGAGTTTCTCGAAATTGTAATTTATTTTAAAATATAGCACAGGTCCTGAAAATATCGTAGTTCAAAGTCTACATTTTTGTAAAAGGATATTTTTTTCGCTTCCTTACAGATTCATATACGATTGGTACACAAGAGCTTTTACATTATAAACAAACGTATGTTATATATATATATATATATATATATATGTGTGTGTGTTAATATGTATATTTTCTGGGAGCCGATATAATTTATTAGAAGGAGATATAATAAACACGTAAAATGAGTGGAGTCGGCCTGCGGGTCATTTTGAATATGTTCTACATAATTTTGATACGACAAAAATTTATTTCTTTTCCTTGGCTATTCTATATCATTGAAAAGTTTTTACGTATATTCATACAATGATAATATAAGTATAATTTACTAGGTAATGAAAAAAAAAAATAATTCGAAAAATTGGTGCGATTGAAGGTAGGTTAATAATTCTTTTATTTTTCATATTTAAATTCTAAATTAAGTCAATTGGGTGTTTTTTTTTTTAAATATTGATATCGAGTAATGTACATTTAAATAATAATGTATCAAAACAAATAATTTTTGGAATAGGAATTATTATTATAGTTCACAAGAATTGTAAGTTACTTGCGGTCTAATCTTATGGAAATGACGATCCGAACGAGAGATGACTTTTACATTCGACCCTTGCATCTAATAACCAAATTATTCTCAGTGGTAGTCGAAAATAGTACTGTTAAGTAAAAGCAACTTATCAGTTAATGTACTTTTTATGTTTTGGAAAAATATCACGAATACATTTTCAGAGTCAGCAGATATTTCTTTGCTTCTTGTGTACCAACGAGAAGATTTGTTGTTTTTTGTACTTTAGACTGACACTAATAATTTACATGTCTCAGAGGGTAACGAATTCTGTATTCTAGAGATAAGGTCAGACGGAAATTGCATGGAATACAATTCGTTTACAATTTAATTTATTTTAGAACTTTAGAATATGTAATACGTTTCTGGAATTCATTATTCATAAAAAACGATAGAGTAATTTGGATTTGATATAAACAAATATATTAGAATTTGAGTGTTATAAAAAAAAAAATATATTGTTTAATGCAAATAATTGATTCAATAGTATATGTTTTTAATAATTTTATAAGAGTATCTACTTATAAGAAATTGTTTTTAAAAAATGTTTTATTTTATTTACGTAGTATTTTCAATCACTCAGCAGTTTGATAAACTTAGTATTTTGAGAAATTCAAAGTATTTTATCGAATAAAAACAAAAAACTAAAATAAAACAAAATTATGTAAATATGAAAGAGTCCGTATATATTTATTTATTTATATTAGACATAATTATAATAAATCAAACACAAAATGAAAATATTGCAATCAACTCTAGTTGAACATACACTTCAGTATTTTGAATACCTAATTTACCATATTAAACCAAATTTTCATTTTTAGTTTATTTATATTATTATTGTTGAAAGTTTTTAAATTTTAATACATTTTTTGAGTAGGTAGAGATTTTATAAAATGTTATTTAAAATTTCATTTTAATAATCAATTAAAATAATTTAAATTATAATAATTAAATTCTTCCACATTATTCTTTATTTGTATACATTTTGTTGCAAACAAATGTGTGGTTTTTCATTTAATGTTTAAGACTCATACTGTCTATTTATGAAAAGTATTGAATATTTAGAATTATCAGTGTTTTTAATTATTATTATAATAGATTAATATTTGTTTAATATGATAAATTACGACGAAAAATATGGATATTTAAGTTTCCTTATTTTTGTTAATATTTTTTTTTATAACAAACAGTAGTAATAGTAAAAATAGTGTAATAAGAGCTTTAAGTGAACTACGATATGCTGTGCACTATTAACGGGAGTGAATAATATTTATATTGTCGTTATTGTACTTTTTGGAACGTGAACAATTATGGAAGATCCTAAATCATAGGGAAAATCCCAATTGAGCTTCCGGTACCTTATGCCGAATAAGTTTTCTAACATTGTTTTATAAAGGCATTTTTTTTTTCAATGATTCTGATATTGTGTACTGAACATTATATATAATCTATAGTTTACCCTCTTGGATCGGCGATATTGCAGTAAAAAAAGACTTGTAAAACTATTTGTGAAAGTTCCCACGACAGAGCATATTATTATATAGGTCAGTATATGAGCTTACCTGTACTTCGAGCGCATGATAAGCCATGATTAATCCCAGCAAAATGATGGTGGATACGGATATGAGCGTTTTCAGTGATGTAGAATAGAATGACGTCTGCAACACACATACATAAAACGGAAATAAGTTTTTGGCGACCACAGTTCTTCAATAAATCAAACGAGGACGCGTATTCTTGTACAGAGACGTGAAACGAGGAGCATATTATTATTTTCCTATTACGAATTTACTATACATTTTTCGACAATGATTACCAAAGACTGTGCGATTTTCGTACCTTTTCACCGTTAATCTGATTTATCGTATATAAATACTTGTATTATGTCGAACGGTAGTAGTAGGTATTCAAAGGATTGACCTGCAGTACGTATACGTATTAAATGGGTTAGGTTTACACTGTATGAATTACATGTTATACGAAATTGAACAGGCTTACGGTCTTATCAAATAAATTGGAAATAAATATAATTCATACGGGATTTAATAAAAACGTATATTAATATAATACGTATATTTATATATGTTTATAACTTTATCACGTTTATAATAATATTCTGAAAATGTTTGTATACTATATTTTAAAATCTTATTATATTATTATTTTTATTATTATTTTTGTTTTGTACTACAGTTACGTCTGGTAAATCTTAGATACCTAGCACTTATTTTTGTGAAAAAATACATTTTAATATCTAAATGATTGGAGTTAATATGCAAATTGCAATCAAAGAATTTTAAAGTCATTAAATATTGAAATGTTCATCGACAATTTATTTAGATTTTTTACTGGAGACATTAATTAGAACACTGATTATGAAGGTCAAATTTATCATATAAACAATATTTCAAAGCTAAATCGTTTACATTTTTAATTTAAAATTATGCGTTAAATGAATAGTTATTTTTAAAATTAATTTAATCTCTATTAACTGATTTTTGTTTATTTAAAACTCGACGGCAGGCAATATCTTTTCTTAATCGATAAAGTTGTTTGTTAACTACAGTGCTTAATGTTTACATAGAACAAACATTTTGTCAGTTTTCGATATATATGTACATAAATATATATAGATATATATGAAATTGTTGGCAGAGATGAGATGCATGTTTTTTCTTATAACTTGGTCTTATCGTCTCGGTCAAACAATGAGTTATGATCGTCGTCCATGGATGTATTAATTCGCGTGTTTCATCGTCGTCGTACTGGCAGTGGCAGTGAATTTTTCGAGTGGTGGAGGAGAACAAAGACGACTTTGTCATCCATCATTTCTCTATCGGGGTTGAAGTTACTGGAAAATGGGAAAAAGAGGCAGAAGAAGCTAAGCATATACGATACAAAAACATAAACACACACACACACACACAATGTACATAGTACAGATAACTTGTGACCATGACAGAATCGATTTGTTTTTTCGGTACACATCTTTTCCATGGATTCCCGGAAATTTGTAATACTCGTTGTTTCCCGAAAAAACGTAATGAGTATATGTTTTGATACATGATACGTCATACGTGTAGGGTAACAATAACGTAGTACTTATCGCAACATTAAGCTATTATATAGAAATTTTTCAAATCGAAAAGAATGGGTGTAAATGTACAGACGGTTAAAATTAATTGAATTATCCGAAATTTTAGAAAGGTACTTGAAAAATGGATACATGTATGTCGTCATTCTGTGTCTATAGTGATAAGATATTTTTGCGGGATGATTAAATAATCATTCTTAATAGAAAACGATAAAAATAAATATTTGTTCATATATTCACTTGTTAATTAAATTATTTACTTTAGAACGTATGTAGTAAAATGTTTAATTATGAAATAATTTAAATTAAAACCACTGTACGTGCCAATTTATGTTAAAAATGTAACTAATGCTAATTTAATATTATTTCTTTAAATAATATATTCTAAACAACAACCTCAATAGAACCTATTATAATATCCACAAGTATCATTTTCATTAATGTTTTGAAATTTGAATTTTGCGAATAGTTTAAACAATAAAAGTGCGCGGTCTAATTATATTTTAGAGAAAAAATAAATAAAATAAAATAAAATACTTAAAAATAATATTTATCAATGAATGTAATTTTTTTTTACGATAAATAATGTACACATATAATATTGTTAATATAATATTGATTTTTTAATTTTTTAGACTAACATTTTGACTGAACAGTTTAAGGGATAGTAACCATCATCAAGATAATGTTTATTAAGTCTGATGTCAAAGACAAAATTCTTTCAGTGTTGATTTATTCGCATTCATATTCTCGAGAACTTGTACCATATTGCGTAATTCTAATGCATGTGATATTGATTACGGTTTCAGAACAAACTACTAGCTGTTTCAATTGGTATGTTCTGTGTTTCCAATCACGTTTTTTCCAATAAAAATTTATTACCGTTTTATTATATTGTATTTTTATTTTATATGTATCCATTGACCATAAATATAGTGGATTACACGTTTTGATTACTATCCGACTATCAACTCTGTTGAAACTTATAAGCTTTTCGGAAATTATTCAAGCCCGACCAAAAGCTTATTTATACATCATCTATGTCCAAAGAAAATTGAAATCGTTAAATTGAAACAGGTGACCTTTTTTCTTTGGACGCTTATGCTCTGATAGAAGCCACGTCTTTATTGTGCTTCATGAAACGGATTTTCAACGGCCCTCGCAATTGTTCATCGACCGACCTTCCATGTAAGCTCAGTGCTTTTAATCTATTTTAATTACAACCATTGAACAACAATCACAATAGAAAATTCAGATAAAATTCAATAAAAACGGATTAATGCAATTCAATATTCAGAATAATTTTTAATTTAAAATATATAAAAAAAAAAAAAAATTAAAAAAAATAGACCAGTATTGTTTAAATACATAATATATTACACACCATACAAAATTATAACTCTTTACGTTACAAAATGAAATAATAAATAGTGAACAAATATTATCTGATTTATAATTAAAATGTTAGAAATTAGATCTAAATCTGAAATTGTTCAAAAAATAAATTGCATTGTAATTATTTAGATTTTTTTATTAGTAGTTCTCAAGCCTTACATTGATTATGATAAATCATTATGAAATAGCTATTAAAATACATGGATATGTAAATTTGTATTTTTGTGCATTGAGTTAATTCATAAAAAGCTTTAGTTGTTTATGCATGTAATTTTCAATAAATGTACAGAATAAGCTGTAATGGTATAATGAACTTTTATATATAATCGTCAAACGTATTATTACTTTGCAAGTTAAAACATTCGTAATGACTTTTCTTGAAATACCATTTGTAATGATGAGTTATATTTAACTATCATGAGACAAGTAAAATTATCGTATGGTGTATTTAAATGAACAATAATTAAAAATCATAATTATTAAATTATGTGTTTTATCCAAAACGTACATCAAAAATTCTTACCACAGATCTACCTAAGGAAATTTTAGTATGACATATAATTTCCTGGTAAATTATAGTATTTTATAAAGAATAATGGGACATATGTTTTGATTATGAAACAATAGTATTTATTATTGGTAATTGAATGTCTGAATATTTTTAAGAAATATTTTTATACCTATGTATAAATATACATATATGGTTTATAGGGGGTTCATGTTCAATTTTACATTCATTCTTAAAAATATCTCAATAATTATATTTATAGTAATTATACCTAAATATATTATTAAATTGTTTTGATAAAATATGAATATTTACCATGTATATTGTACGAATATTTTTTTTATAGGAAAATATGGTTGTTATTTACTGTGCAAAAAAGAAAAAAAAACAAATAATAAACCCTGAGAAAATATTGTGTAGGTAAAACAAATAATCAGTCAACATCCACCGGGGAATTGTCATGTATGTGAGAACAGATACAATCGAACGAGCGGCGGGCGTCTGCAGTGGTCGTTATGTAGGCTTCCGAATGTTGAAAGTATAATGTCACTGGGAAATAAAAAAAATAAAAGTAACATTTATGCTATCACCGTCGTACTATATGTTGTACTATATACCGCGAACATTGACGAGAAGGAATTCCGTCCTCAGTGTTCATAAAACGTTGTACGAAGTGCTAAAGCTAAGGTTTTATGCGTGAAGAATACTGCAAGTCTGGTCAATGTGCGTCCGTATGACACGTCTTATTTTTTGTTTTCAGCCATTTTTATTTTCGGTTTTCTCCGTGGATTAGGTGAAATTGGCTAGCATTAAAACTGACCGGAAAAGTTTTCTACCAAATAATAATCTCTTTCTTTTTTTTTAATGACTATCATACATGCATATACATAGTGTCACACACACACATGTACTTATAAGTCATAAAATAAGTTATTTCTCCGCACATAAATGTATTCAAACGACTCAAATTTACGGTCACACTGCAAAAACACAAGGAAAAAGTTACATGGACATGCGACGTGTGCTTGGATATATTTATAAATATACGATTTATATATCTATATATATATATATATATGTTATCGGCAATATGGATAATCCGGTATTTTGCAAAATGCCTAGGCATTATATAAAATGCCAAAAATCCAAAAATCACTCGGCAATATACATAATATGAGCTTTTCCTAGTTATTATGTATAATTTCAAACGTGGAGTAGGCAATATGATGAAAATAAACAAAATAGGGCTTCGCCTATTATCAACGACTTTACTTATAGTTTATCAGAAATGTGCGTGAACGATTTAACATAATAAAAATTAATATTATTTTACTACTATAATAATAATTCTATGGTACAATATTGAGCGTATTAATAATTTTATTACAATATCGTAATCTTTCTTGTAATTTTCGTGTCTCGTTATGGTGTTGCAATACTATGCATACGATTAATATGAAGTCAAATTTTTATAACAAACTATACAATTTTTTTTAAAAATTTGGCCACTAATACTAGTTTTTTATCTGATGAACAGTATAATGAGTTGATAAAAATTCAATCAAAGAATTGACCAAGGATTTTTAAAATGTGTTTGTAAGTCCAAGTGTCAAAATAAAAAGTTTATTATCCTTAAAAATAACATTTTGTGCACTTCAAAA